GTCTCTGTGAAAGTATTTTTGTTTCTTTTTACCCTCTTCCCATAGGAAAAAATGCCATCCCGTTTGCAAATCGTGGCCCTCTAATGTTTGGATAAAAATCACAATTTCTTAAAGAAACTTGCAGGATTACCTTGATTAAATTTCCATCAGGACAATGCCACACAATTCCTTCAATCTTCCCTTCTTTGCATCCATCAAGCCAAGCCAATATGTCATTGTGATTTATTGATGGTGCATTTTTAATCTTAAATGTTCCATGTGGCACAAGAAGGTGTATAGGATGTTTCTTATTTCCTAAGCCTGTTAAAACATTCAGAAATTATTATTAGCATATTTTATTTTATTTTGGAAACTCCTCACAATCTGAATTGTTCCTTTTCTAAAATCCCATTGTATTATGATACTTGCTTCCATAATATATTTACTTCCACCACTATATTTATCTAAGTTTTTCATTTATTTTGTCTAAGAGGTCACTTGGATTGAATTGTCTAATAGTTTATTACAATCCTTTACTTCATCAAAGTTATAGGGCAACATATGTTATTTCTACAATTGACCATTGACTTACCTGAACGGTCCTTCTATGTGTGCTGCGAGGGGAATCCAAGCATGGGTTAACTTTGTCCATTAGCCTAGGGACTGAGTATGTAAATGTTGGCCACGCCTCCTCTGACTGGATGGGTCAGTTTTGTTCGAAGTCAGCCGTTAAAAGATGCATGTCAGTGTCACATATGGCCGTAGCCAAAGCAGGTATTAAGAGTCACGTCCAGAGTAGTCCAGTCAGGAAAATAGCAAGGTTAGTCATTGAGTCAGAGTCAAGGTATAGCCCTGGCCAGCCGAAACTGCGGGCGGGTTTGGATTCCCCTTGCAGCACACATAGAAGGACCGTTCAGGTAAGTCAACGGTCGTTCTCCTGTGTGCTGCTTGGGACATGTCGCCTTGGCAGATGGAGGCCAATATGCTTTGAGAGATTGCATTTTGAATTTTTGGTACTTGATGTGCCGATTGAGCCTTTTCAAATCTAGAATGGCCCGCCATCCCCCCCGAGTTCTTGGGCACAAGGAACAAGATGGAGTAAAATCCTAGCCCCTCTTGACCCATTAGTACCTGCTCCATAGCCTTTTTGTCAGGCAACTGGGTATGGGACATGTGATGAACCGCCTCGGGGGAATGGAGAGAAATTTTAGAGTGAGGCCCAGCCTCACGACCTGAAGGGCCCAGGCGTCGGATGTGGTCTCCGCCCACTGATGAGTGAAGGCCAGGAGATGCCCTCTAATGGGTTCCTCCCCCTGTGAGTCACCGCTACCTCCAAAAGGACCGGTTGCCAGCTCCAAGAAATGGCCTTCTAGCCTGGGATTGCGCCTGGGTCTGCTGGCGACCCCTATACCTGGCCCCCTTGCGATCCTGGCCGCGGTCCTGTGACTGGGAAAAACCTGTTATAGTGGGGAACATAGGGAGCAATAGCAAATCCCGAATCCCCAGCCCGAAAGGGCTGTCACCTATTATAAGGCTGTTGTCTCCTATTGATGCAACCACTGGAGGAAAGGGAGAACCTTACGCTTATCTCTTGTCTCAATGAGGATGGGATCTAGGACAGATCCGAAGAAGGCCCTACCCTTGAAGGGCATGGACGCAAGGCGCCACTTGGACTTGACGTCAGCCTGCCAATGGCGAAGCCACAGCAAACGCCGGGATGCCACATTAGAGACCACGGCTTGAGAGGCAACTTTTGCTGCACTTAGAGTGGCATCCACAGAAAATTCCAAGGCTGCCATCAATTTGGTGATATCTTGGTGAAGGCGCATGTCCTCTGGGGCAAGCCTACCCTGCAACTGTTTAAGCTAGACCAAGGATGTCCTATTAAAGAAGGACGCCGCAGCAGCTGCGCGTAGGGCCCAGGCCGCAACCTGATGGGTCTTACGAATGACTGTCTCGGCCTTTTGGTCCTCAGCCTTCAAACCCTCAGAGATCTCTGATGGAATTAAAGCTGGAGAAGTAAGGGCAGCAATAGGAATGTCTACGGTGGGGAACTGTAGAATACCTTCCAATTCTGGAGTAGAAGTGTACAATTTCCTATCACCATTGCTGGGTGGGGTAACCACAGTCGGTTGATCCCACTGCTTTTGAATCAGAACTAGAAATAGCTTGGGCGAGGGAATACCCTCCTGCAAGGCCACCTGTTCAGCAAAGAGGCGTTCAGTTGCATCCAGGCCCACTGCTGTGCTATCCTTACAGGCTGCCTCCCCCATGTGGGTGGTGGTTTTAGCCTTATACAATAAGGACTTAAATTGAGAGTGTCGAAACAATCCAGGGGCAGTAGGCTGATCCAGGGG